TTTCAACAAAAAATTTTTGTCTTATGTATATAAAAGACAGTATTTTATAAAATTATTTTTATCTCATACAAAGGCATATAGTATTTAACTTTATTTTATTATGCATTCAATCTTATCTGTACGAAACATTTGAATAATTATTATTCTCTACTGCCAATAAAAAAATCTGAAACTCCAATGCCGAAAACCCTTTATATTAAAATTGTTTTGTTATTTATTTATCTGGAAATCGCTACTACATATAACATTAAAATGCTATAAAAAAAACACCCATATAAAAGCCAACTACATTTACTATAAATTCTATAGAGCTCCCATAAATTGAAAGTTGAATATGCTGAAAATTGAACTACCCTATAATATTCATAAATTTCAATAAGTACCAACTCATAAGCCATAAAATACAGCAATTTTAAAGAAGCCATGCAAGGAGAGTGTGAAAATCAAGTTCTGGGCAATTTTAAGCCTTTCAGCAATGCATAAGAATAAAATTGATATGCACATTTGGCAGTCAGCCGAAGAGGAACAATAAAAGTGTTTTTCATAAATTATTCAAAGCTTAACTGCTTCCGTTTTGGGACACATTGACAGTCGATTGACAGTCACACATTGAGTTCGTCGTCTTGGGCATTGACAGTCAGTTTGACAAGTAGTTAAAGTAGTTATATACCCTACAGCTGGCTACTTGGCCAAGCCGAAGGCAAAGTGCTGAGAATTGAGGCCTCGACGCTGGCGCTGCAGTTGCGGTTAGCGCAGCTGTTTGTATAAATTTACAGCAGCTACGGCAGCAACAACAACAACAACAACAACAAAGTAACAACAAGTTTATTTAACATTTTATTGTATAATTTTCGGATGTGGTTTAACGGCTAACCGAAGCGAGCCACAGACGCTCCACAGTTCTCTGGCATAAATTAACGCGTGCAGCTAAATAAAAATACAAATAAAGAAGCAAAAAGAAGAAAATAAAATACAAATACAAATAAATACATATATTTATTTACATTGAGAGCGCGTCTCGGGCTTTAGCTTTAGCTTCGGCTTGGGCTTGGGCATGGACCTGGGGCCGAGTTCCGCTCGAGTGCGCCACAGGAATGTCGCAGACAATGGGGCGGGTTCTAGTTTTTTTGAGAAATATTCTATGTAAATTGCATACGAACTAAACGGACAAAGCGACATGCAGACAGACAAACTAACTCGCTGAGAGA